CACAGCAAACCTACAGCTCCCCTCCTCACCACACAGCCTTGGAAAACGTTTGATTAACAGTGAGTACTAAGCTCCCTTTATGTCAGCTGTTTGGAAATACATGCTTACTTTCAGGATATTCCAAAAGGCTATTTTAAACATTGAATTAGGAAGGCTACAGTGGCTCTACCTCGACTAATCCATAAAATAAGTACCCCACTGTGCCATTTCAGAGCTGTATTTTTTCCCAGCCACTGTAAATTATATGAAATATCTGGGTCATTAGCAAATGCAGTTTAAAGGAATCTGAATGTGTGGCAGCCTTGCTGCTACCTAGAAAACACTGTCACATGGGAGTGCTCTTTGTATCCTTGTTACATCCAGGCAAATATTTTATTTTCTCTTTAATTATTTCCAGGAAAAGCAGAGAAGAAGGAAGTCGTAACCCTTTTCTCCCTCCATTATGAGAATGGCAGTATCACTTGGTAACACCCTGATACTTTCCTTTCAACGTCTCAGTGCCAAAGTTTCTTTTTCTCATGGCTGCAGGTAAGTCCAGAGCATAGTGCACATTATCAAGGTGTGAGCTCTGTCATCATGCACACTGATGTAAATTTGCAGTGATTTCATTACTTTTTGGGTGCAACTGAACTGCAACACCACAGCCAGGAGCCTGAACTTCACCCAGACCCCTCAGGAAGCCTCTGGGTTGTCAGGTGGTGAAACTACAGCCCTGCTCTTTACAGGAGAAGCTGCTTCTGGAGTGGTTACAACAGAAGGGGCTGAATTGAGAGCACGACAACATCAGCTCCTGGGACACATCTGAGAGCAAGTCAAAATGGAGCATCTACTGCCTGGGCAGCACTTGAGGTTGATGCCTTTAACTTCAGCCCAGAATGGGGATAAATGAGGCAAGTAAAATTAGCAACAAACTATTGTAATAATTTCACTTGGCCAGAAACTTTCATTTGTTCATGTGAAATATGTGAACTTGTTTTCAGCTACTTCTGTTCTACACCAGCAAAAAACCACTGACTTCAAATGAATTACTGGCCACTCACAGGAATAATTGATACTGGCCCATATATTTTACCATTTCCCTTTCAGGTGTGACACTGCTTCAGGTTGATGAGCAGCAGTTGATCTTACCATGCCAGATCACTGTGTAAGCACCTGCATGGTCTGCACACCTCCAAAATGTGATTAACTGTCTCAGAAAGAAGTCGTAGACGTGCTCAGCCTGTTTCACTTGTTGCTGAAAACTGAATGTGGAGTTGAAGTAGAATCTGGCATAATAAAACATCAACTGGCACTATCCTGAAACACACATTCACACAATTCCCTGCCAGAACTGGGGCTTGCTGAACATGTCACTCACAGTGCTCCCAGACACTTGGCTGGTAGTGAAGCTCCCTCCCCAGTGAAAGGGAACCAGATGGCGAGCGACTCCTGGCATTTCTCAGGGTAATGTGAAGTGTTTCTGTAGCTGGTGAGCACATGCCATCCCGTCAAGTCGCTTTGGAAACAGCCCTTCATGTCTTTCTTCAGATTTCCACACAAACAGCAAACACCCCATTCAAGAGGAAAGGCCAGGCCCAACCCTGCTGGCTTTCAGCACTGAACCACAAGTCTCAGCTCGGAGTTTCTGTTGTCCTGGAGATAAAGAAGCACCTCTGAAGGATTTATTTCGTCCTCTGGTCCTGTTACAGCCTCTGAGCATTCAATTGCTCACCAATGTCCATGGAGAAAGATTAATTTAAACAACTTAGTTAAATGCCCACAGCCAGATGGGACGAACAGAGGCCAGAAAACCAAACTGCCTAAAAGCACAAGTTCCACAACCATTTTAAGGGCAAGCAGTACTTGACAGCTAATCTGCTCTAAATTCAGGAATTTAGAGACATGACTCTGCTCCTGGCTGTGTCAAATTGACATGGCCAAATCATTTCTTCCTTTAGTTAAACCACATGTTTTCTAGGGCAAAGCAAAAGCTTGAAAGCAAACTTGCTAAAAGTGTTTCCACAGCCAATATACCTCACCTAAACAGCCACTCTGAGGCCACTGGCATTGCTGCAAGTGGGCATCAAACTGCATGGCAAGAAGAGGATTTTGGTGGGCATGTGCAAGGCAGAATGGAATGAGGTACAGTAGTGATGGTGCAGCCTTAGGAAAAGAAAAGCATCAAGCTATTAGAACAGAGGCCTCAAAAGCCTGCTAAAAATAAAACAGTAAAAAAGTTAACCAGAAAGGTTAGAGCTTATTATTTCCACTGTGCAGGTAAGGATTGCTTTGCTTCAACAGAAAGCTGCTGCCTTGCTGCAACATCTTGCCTTGGGGCAATTTTCAGAGAGTTGTTACCTTTCAGGAATGGTAACATTCGGCATGTTTACTACATGCCACACAAAAACAAGCAAAGAAGAAAGAAAAAGGAAGGAGAAAGAAACAGAAACAGCCAGAAAAGGCTAAATGCCCTACACAGTCCAAGCCACAAGCCCCACTGAAGTCAATATTAAGAATTTATAGACTCCAAACTTTGGATGGCAGTGGCTTGGAGAAGTAGAGAGGAGCTGGAAAGCTGCTTGTGCCCAGCTGGCACAACTGAAGGGACAAATACTCTCTTCAGTTCATAAACATAACCCAGGGCTACTGTTGGTAAGAGTCATAATTACTCAGTCCACAGTGCTACCAAATAGGATCCTTCCTGTCACCACATGAACTATGTCAACAGAAGGAGCAAATAACTGACACATGAGGGCAAACCCATCTTTCACTGATGAGAATGGAAAGATCTCTTTTGAATGTAAAGGGAGCTGAGGTAGATCAAGCCCAAGAATTGTAGCATATTCAAAAATATAATTAATTTTCATTGACAGTAAATATGTTCTAATGTGTTAAAGGGAACTGCTCCCTAACAGTGTCTCCTCAGTTTAATTTCACGAGATGTATTCCCACACAGAACTTATTAGGCTCCTGCAGATGCAAGGTTTAAAGAGTAGATTCTTGCCATCTCCAAACATCAACTGTGATTCATCACACAGAAAGCCCATTTTTAATAAGCCTTAAAACCAGACTAGGTCATCTGCAGTGGCTGTTCTACAGTAAATCTGCACTTGCAAAATTGATTCTGTACTCCTTTAGCAAACCTCTTTTGGTGATTTACAAATCCCATTTACTCAACTGACACGTGCTCCCACCCCTGACTACACCAGACACAGGGAAGTAAACCAGAACAACCCTGACAGATAAATAGATACGATGTAGAGATAAGACTTCTCTGTCCCAGATTTGCAAATATCTTATCAAACACTGCCAGTTACAACTGACCAAAATACAAGGGATGCATTTCTCATCCCTGGCAATCTCTCCCGTGCCTGCCCAGCAAGTCAGCCTGTCCTGAAACCCACACACAACCACTGACAACTGGTACTTCTCTAGTGCTGTCTGTACTGACATTTCCAGTTTCCTCTTTCTCTCCATTTAAACATTTTCCAGCTAATATACTCCAAATCACTCAAAGCTTACGAGATCACCACCTGAATCCTTCTTTGCATCTCACAGAACCCGCTCCCCTGTCACAACCTTAAAGATTTCTAAGACCAAAAAGGATTGTTATGATCATCAGTGTCATCCTGCTGCAAAACAGCCAGTGGAATTTCATCAGTCTTCCTCAGTGCTGCATGAGAAAGCCACTGGTCTGCCTCCAGATAAACACAGCAGTGCAAAAAGCAATTTGGATGCAGCGTATCTGGCAGTAGTAAGGATTTAAAAATATTTCTATTAGTTTATATAAAATTACACAACTTACCAAGAGACAAATAAAACCAGAAATCAAAGAACTCGTTACTGTTGCTCATTTCTCCTTATTTTGCTGGTTAAAACAAGAAACTCCATCTTCTCATTAAGAAAATGTTTAACAGACCTGTGACTATCTGTAAGCAATAAGCCTTCTGTCTCCTGGTTTCCTGATTTAGTTCACAAGCTGTGTTTCATTAAGAGTGGTAAGCCAGAAATAAGTAATTTGCTCCAACAATTACTATGAATTCACTCTGGTTTTGCTGCCTCTTTGGCATCCCTTTATAAACCACCGTTTCATGGGCTCCTCACACTAATTTGTTTTATTGCAGTTTAAAAGGTTGTTTGATACTGGTTTTCTGAACCCTATCCCAGTCCCAACTCCACTCCTCCTTCCTGGCACCCAAAATTGCTGGGGTGTATTGAAGAGTTAAGTGCAGTATCCCGAGAGTTCTCCACGGGAAAGCATTTCTTGCTGTTTAATTTCGCTGGAGCTGCAGCCCTGGATGGAACCACTGACGGGAACCGTTTCAAACCAAGCGCACGTCGTTGCCCTCATTGACTCTGGCCCGAATCCCACTCCCATTTTACACTGATGTCACGATGTACAGTGGTCCCACTGACGCAACCGCTCCGAGACCAGTGGCGCGACTCCAGATTTACGCTGTGTCACTGGAGGGAGGGATGGTTGGAGCCCTCGCTTCCAATCCATCACCTGCAGCTTTTGGGGTGCCCGGGCAGTGCTTCCCCGCCTGTCCAGACCTGGCTCTGCTCCCAGTACCCCAACGGAGCCGGGCACCCCAGTGCGGGCTCAGCTCAGCCAGGACGGAGAAAAAACACAACAAACGCACCCCCCGAAAGGCACCGCGACCTCCCAGCACCCGGACAGGTCCCTCCACCCCAGGGGACCGCGACCGAGTCAGCCCGGGGGTCTGGGCCGCCCCGAGGGACCGGGAATGCTCCGGGACCCCCTGAGGGATGGAGGGAACCGCGATGTCTTTAGGGAGGACTCCGCAGGAAAGGCGGAGGGCGGCCGGGGAGAAAGGGGGTCCAGGCTGCCATGGGGAGGGCTGTGGGACCCCCCGAGGGACGGGTCCCCGAAAGGAGCGGGTCTGGGCTGCCCTGGGAGGGGCGGTGCGGGCAGGTGGGTGACGGGGCGCTCCGGGCGGGGTCGGACCGCGCACAGCAGGTGAAAGTTGCGGGGGGTTCGGGGGGGTCGCCCCGCTCACCTCATCCCCTTGGCCGAACTGCAGCCCCAGGGCGACGAAGTGCTCCACGCGGATGAACCCGTCCGCATCCTCGTCGCACACGTCGAAAACCTCCTTGAGCTTCCGCAGGAACCGCAGCAGGCTGGCCGGCTCCATCGCGGGCATCAGCGGGAGGCGGGCGGCGCGGCCGCGGCCGCAGCAGCCATGATCGCCCGCGCCTTCAGCGGGTGCGTGACATCAGCGGCGGGGAGCGGGGCGGGAGGGACGGCGAGGAGGAGGAGGAGGAAGGGATGGAGAGAGGGAGGGAGGGATGGAGGAGAGCGGAGGGAGGACGCGAGAGCCGGCGGAGGGAGGGAGGGAGCGAGGGACGGGAGAACAATGGGGCAGAGCCGGAGGATGGAGAGAGAGGGAGGGAGGGGGGCCCGCGCTCGGCGCGCGCCGCCAGGGGGCGGAGAGGAGCCGGCGGGAGCGGGGAAGGGAAATCCTGGGAATGGGCAGGGACAGAGGGGGCACGGAATGGGCACGGACCGCGGGCAGGGTGGGCACGGACCACCGGCAGGCCCGGCACCCGCCTGCTCCCCGGCAGGCTTCGTGCCTCCTTCCCTTCCCCAGGCTGAGAAGGTTGGGGCTGTGCAGCCTGGAGAAGCGAAGGTTCCGTGGAGACCACGCAGCCCTGCCAGTATCAAAGGAAGCCGCAGACTGTGCACCAGTGACAGGACAAGGGGGAATGGGTACAAATTAAAAGAAGGGAGATTTAGGTTGGCTATACGGAAGAAATTCTTTACTGTGAGGGTGGTGAGACACTGGCACAGGTTGCACAGGGAGGTTGTGGATGCTCCAACCCTGGCAGTGTTGGAAGCCAGGCTGGATAAGGCCTTGAGCAACCTGGGCTAGTGGGAGATCCCTGTGGCAGCAGGTGTTGGGAGTAGATGATATTTAAAGTCCATTCCAACCCGTTTACATTCTATGATTCTATGGCAGACCTGTCCACAGCCCCTTCACTGCTCCACACGTCAGTCTGACATCCCAAATAAAACACCGGTCACACTACAATACTTTTTCTGATGAAAAGCCTGTTCTGAACAGGCCCAGGCCAGGGGGAGAAAAGCTGAGTGTAGAGAGTTAAGGGGCAATTAAGGAAAAGCAGGACAGGCAGAGGTTCCCACGCTCTGCTGCACTCAAGCGAGAAGGCAGAGCCAGGCAAAGGAACTCCTCATGGCAGGGCATGGCTGGGAACAGCCACTGTCCACCCACACTTTAACAAGACAGAGCTGCTAACAAAGGGATGTCCCTGCCTTTACAAGAGTCCTCATTAAAGCCTCCTGCAACTGCTGTGCTCCATGGCTGCGTTTTAATTTGATCTCTCTGCTCTGTCCCTTTTCTCTCGTGCAGATTTTTGGACTGCTTTTTAAGCCCACAGCTGTGAGCTGCCAGAGGGGAGACCAGGAACGGTTCTGGTTTCTGCATTGTGCCTCAGACAAGGAATGATGGGTTGGCCTCTGGGTAGGAAGGAGCACTGGCTCAGTGAGACTCAGGTACTTATTGCCTCTGCCAGCACTTCTTTCCTGCTGTGGTTGCTGAGCACAGGTGACCATCCATCACTGAGTGACGTTCTGGAGGTGATTGATGAAGCTGTCCAACTAAAATGACCATGTAAGTGCAGCAGGTTTTGAATCCAGACAGTATCCATTCATTTGCTTCCTTCAGTAAGAGAGGTCCATATGGCCCTTAGCAACCCTGAAAATCCCATGATTACAGCAAGCTGGTCAAATTAATCTCTTTTCTAAGAACCAATAGGAGTGTTCTCAGGAAGTTGTATTTCTTTGAACATGAGTCTCTCATTCCTTTTATGTACAAATTCAGGGTTAGGGAAGAGGCTGGCTTGACTGTAAGTCAGCTGTCAGTCACAACACAGTGACAGCACACACTGCAGTAGCAATACAGCTCCCCACGTATTCACCCTCTGGCACAGACATATAGAGCTGGTTCCAGAGCCTCTGCCACCTTTACCTTCCTTTAGTTTTACAAAAAATACTGAAGAGTTCTCCTTTCCCTCACTGATGTGCTAAAGGGTCTTCTCAGACTGGGGAAAAAAAAAAAATCAAAGTGCAGAGATCAGATATGAGAATTTATGGAGAGATGTGAAGAGATCTGAAAGAGAAAAGGGAAGCAAAATATTTGATCAGCAAACTTCTCTGAAGTTGTCTAGTTAGAGCAGGATTCTTAAGATGTGGGGATGTTCAGCTTTTATCTCAGAAAAAAGGAACCCTTGAACTCATCTTCAGGTTACGTGCGGACTGAGCTCAGCACACCCCTTGGGGGCACCTATTCAAAAATCTGTGAGCTGGTGCCCCTTGGAGTTGTGGAATCAGTTACTGTCAGTCTGTCTGCTCTGAAGTGGAGTTCACCCTCTTCAAAGCCTCAGAGCACATCTGTGTCACTGTCCCACTTTGTTTGCTGAGATGTCTCAGAGTGACTCCTTGCACCATCTGACTCACTTCTCTGTGTGCAGGTGGGCAGCTGTGCAGTCCGGACTGGGAAGTGGAGTTACACTAAGTGCTGTGGTGGAAAAGAAAGGAATACTTATCCCTGTTTGCCTTGACCATGGGAGGAATTCCCACACCTTGGAGGGGTTGCACTCAGTTTCATGACATCCAGTTAATTTCCACTGATTCTCTCTCTTCCTGGAGAAGGAACTTAGTCTAGATATGCAAGTAAGGAGCAACACAGATTTAGACCCAAACTGTCAGCATTAAAATCTGTGTCATTCTTGCATTAATTTGGTGGGGAGGTGGAAGAACAAAAGCTCCAGGTTGAGACACTGCGGTGTGGGGAGTTAGCACTGAAGTCTGAGAACTGCCACAGACAGGCTGAGTGCCAGCAAGCACTGGAATCAAGCTGATAAGAGAGCTGAAGAGGCTGTAGAAGCTGTCATTGTAGGCAGCTGAATATTTTGAGCAAATATCTGACAGCTGGGAGATGACAGCACTGAACACAGGAGAATTGGGATGCGAGGTGTTGTCAGTAAAGGTCTGGGATCTGAAAGCTGGGGGTGCCCCATGGGTGCTAAAGTCAGGATAGGGAGACAAACATGTGCCACCCACTTGCTGGGCAACTGCACTACCAAGGTAGAGTTTCTGTAAGGCTGGATCGAGGAGGTCAGTTTTTATTGCCAGTGGATGGAGCTGGCATTACTCCTTGCTGATCTCTGCTTCTCCAGGCCTAAGTAGGACCTGTCTAGTGGTACCAGTGGGCTGTTTTTCCCTACTGGTGTATCAAAATGTTTAATCAGAAATGTTTGGCAACTTCTCCATTTGACTCATGCACTATGTGAAGTAAATATTTTACATCCTGCCAATCTAGTTTCCTGAATTTGAAATATGACTAGCGGAGGTGATTCCATATTTGCCTGTTAAGAATAAATAGTTCAAGAGGAAATATTTCATTGAATACCACAGGCCATGGCTGTCATTTGCATGATTTCTTTACAATCAGCTGCTTTTCCATCAATGTCACTTCCATTTACAGAGAAAATTGTAATCTGGTGTCAGAAACAATGCCTAAAGAGTGCATTCCCCAGGGCTAATGACCTTATCTACAATTCTGGTTGTGTGCCAGAATATCACAGCAACATTTTGAGACCCAGCCTCTCAGAACAATTTCTCTTTATAGTATACACAATACAGCCCTCGTTGAATATTTGGCTTCTAACAGTCTTACTGTTTTTGAATCAAATCTTGTTTCCCATTGATTGATTAACAACATAACAGATGTGCTTTATCAGCTGGGTATTCTCTTTAAGTGTCACAAACAACAGGTAACAGGCAGCAAGAATTAGCTTATTAACACTCTTGCCCCTGAGAACTTAAAAATATTACTTAAGAGGCAATGGAGTTTTCTCAGACTAGCTTAATTAGGTGTGGCACAGAAGATACCTGATTTTTTTTTTAGTGCCTTTTCGCTAATCTTTTTTTTTTTCTATGATAAAAAGTTAAACAACAAAACAAACCTCAGAAATTTTGTGGAAATGTTTCTATAAGCAAGGATCTTCCTTTGCAATTTTCTAGGTGCTAAAGGACCTCACCTCATAAAAGTTTCAGTGGTTTAATTTTACACAGTCTGAACGCTCTTGCTCTACTTCAACAGAACTCCTACCAGATTATCAATTAGGCATGGCCATAACTCTGCCAGATGAACCAAACTGCACTTACCTCAAACACATTAATGCCTTATTTGTTTCGTTTACAACACACGTACTACCCTCAGAGACATTGGTCAGGAAGTTTTAAGGACAGGCAAGGAATACTCCACTTAAAAAACAGTACCCCTTGGTACAAATCACAACCCCAAATGGTGTGTGCAGGTGAAAGCAGCCAAATTCAGCTGTTATTTGCAACTATAAAGCCTTGTTGTAGTCGGGACTGTGCTCACAGAGACCAAACTATCTGTTCTCCCGAAGTTATCGCTAAAATTAAATAATCCCCTGCCCCGGTTCACATAGAACCGACTCACTGTGAATTCACAGGATCGAACGCGTGTTTCCAAGTGCTGCCCTGGTGTTTCCAGGGACGGCACCAGGAGCTCGGATGCCAAGGCCAGCGTGTTCCCATGGCATTTGCAGGTCTCCTTACTCCACCGAGTGGCCGGTCATCCCATTGCACGCCTGTCCCAGCCCAGGGAATCCACGGCTGGCGAGGTGAAGCAAGAAAAGCAATACACAAAACAGAGGCGAATGAATAGTATGGGATAAAGCCTGCTTTCTCCCTCTTCCAACGAGTCCCACAGTCCTCCGAATGCCCTGGGGCCAAACCTCTCTTTGGCACATCCCAGAAGCCTCCCTGCTGCCTTAGGGAAGGGACAGCACTTGTCCACTTTTGTCTTGACGAGCTCTGAGCAGTTGGGCAGAATTACATTGCCCTCAGATTAAAACATGCAAGGGCATCTGTCTACCTCTTGAAAGCAATGGAATGTTTAGAACTCCAAAAGCCAGTGTAGTAGCTACAGCCAAGCTATTTTCAACTTCTACCTCCAAAAGAACTGTCGAGTGACACACAGACATTCCTCTCTGGATCTAAGCAAACCACATTAACAGACCTAAGCCACAAATTCTTGGAGACCATTTTTGCCTTTTTTCCCTTCCTCCATTTTTTAAAAAATAAATGATT